GGTTGCAATAAGCCAATAATAACATTTTAATGATAATATATGTCAAAAAACAAGGACTTTCTTACTTTTAAGGTTGTTATATCTCTTTGTTAAAGGTTTTTTTATTCTCTATTATTGTAGAGGAGGATCTTGACATCGTTAATTATACATATATTTTATTTAATGATTTTAAATTCAGTTATAAATATAGAAAAATATTTGTTTTTTTCTTTAAATTTAGGGCCCCTTGAAACAAGAAAATGTTGGCTTTTCTCCGTGAGAGTTATTTTAATTGATGAAAAAGACAGGCCAAAAGTTGGATTTAACCAACAAAATAAAAGAAGCATTACAATTGAAGCTGGTCAACTTTGAATGTGTGTGCACATTTGCTATAGGACCCAAGGCAGTGGCGAATCTAGAACTTTTTTTTACAGGGATCATAATATAAAATTTAATATTAAAATAACATAGAGAATTATGATAAAAGTTTTTTAAGGTGAAAAACTGATAGAAAATGCAAAACATTAAAATGAAAATAATTATACATATAACATTATAATAGAAAAACTAGGAAATAATATGATTGGGTGGGGTCATAAGGAGATTCCACCTCTATTATAACGGGGTCAATTATGCTTTTCTACCATCTCTATTAAAAAAAAATCAACAAATTTTAACCAAATATATTTTATATAAAATTTTAACCCATATTACTCTAAGTGGGTTCGCCTCTGACCCAAGGTACTTTTCAAACATTAATTTATTTTGTGACAAGAAAAACAAAAAGAAACATTAATTATCTAAATAGTGTATGAGTTTAATAGTGTATTATGGACGACAAAAAAAAGTGTATTATGATTTCATATTGGTAGTGGGCTACGTATTTGTTGAAGAGCCCATTGATTAGATCCAAGTGTTTTTCTTCTTCGTCTTACTTTGGATTTATTCGTCGAAGAATCTAGCCGACGATAATTAATTTACCGATCGATATTCCTAACTGCAATATTGCCTGTTGTAGAAACATTACCATTGACCAAACTATAATTTCTGCTGCAATTAAATATTACACTTGTTGAATGAATAATCACAGTTAGGACGTAGATATTGCCTGTTGTAGAAACATAAACTATAATTTTTGCTGCAATTAAATATTACATTTGTTGAATGAATAATCACAGTTAGGACGTAGGAGGGAGGGCTATTAATTAGTAGTTGTTTGAGAGTTCTAGTAAGTTGTTAATTACTATGTAGTTAGGTGACTAATGGATCATGTATATGTATGAGCATTGAACAATATTAAAGGGTCCAAGGCTACCAATATGTTCTTTCTGCCTAGCTCTACGCTAGCACTTCTGTAATTGTGTTTTCTACTCTCTCTCACTGCGTTGTGTTTATGTTGGGGAAAAATGTTTTAGTTACACTTACGTTTATCTTTGAATCTGCTTTGTGGAACAGTAACTCTAGAATTTCTTTTTTTGGGGAGTGATCGAAAAAGAAATATACTACTTTTCGAAAGAAAACAATATGAATAAT